GGCTTTATGTAAATCAATTTCATTATTAGCAGTTTCTCTTTTAGACTTACCTAGGATTGTCAAAATATGCATGTCAATTCTTGTTAACTGTGTAGTGTTTAGCTCTTCATCCTTATCAGGTGTGAAGTTGGTTTTATATCACTCCTTGTTGGAGAGCTTGAAAGTCGTAATTAAAATGAAGACTGTTTACATCCTTTGTTTTTCTCGCTTTCTGGGCGTCACACCAAAAGTGATGTTTAATTTTCATTTTTCTGCGAGTTTTACTGATTCCAATTTAGGAATGGTGAAGCGCTTTCGAGTGATGAGACTTTTGAGGACTATATACAAAAAAGTAATTTACTTTCAAATGCCAATCTTTCTGAACTGTTCGGTTTTAAAGTGGAGTCTTCATTGTCTCTTCTTCCGGGTCTGCGAGGTAAATGAAAGATAGGTCTTTAGTCTTAGTACACCTAATCTTTGCATCCTACTTCAAAATTGGTTTAAAATTTTACTATAGACCTATTAAATCTAGTAGGTAGTGGGAAAAACAAGAAATTAAACGATTTACATTGATGTTGGTAAATTTTATTTGGAGATGTTGATTAGATGTTTTAGGCGGATCTCCTCCTTTGGAATCTCGAGCTCCTTATTTAAGAAGAAAGCAGAATGAGGAGTTATCAATGCAGAGTGTTGTTAAAGGTGTAGAAAAAGTCAGAGCAGGGGACTATACCCCTGCTGTTCAGCATTTTTTTAAGGCACTCGAAATATACGACCGTAATATAGAAGCTTTGGTTGGGAGGGCTGCAGCGTAAGTGCTTTCGTTTCACTTTTTCTCTTTGATGATAGATTGGTCCTGTTGCGTTTTTACAAACTTAGATTACGGCAAACCAGGAGATAAGTAGTTTATTGCATATTGTTACCGATTGCGGTGAACAGATTTGTGATAATGGCACTGTGGAAGACGCTTAGCTAGAGGAGCTGTATGGAAAAGGTTTTTGCATATGGTTTTAAACTGCTCTGAAGGAGATAGTTTTGATGATGTGAACTAGTGGTAGCCAGATAAGGTAAAATTTGGAGGTGGAGTGGAGAATATGATGAGACTTTTTACAAGCTACCTTGTGCTAAGAATCTTCAACTGGCCTTGCTGTTTGGCATTTCGTCGCTTTCGTGCGGAAAGAGCTTTGGCTCTATTAGAAAATTGTATTGAGATTTCTTTTCACATTTTCCAGTTCACCTCTATGCCTCTGCAGTTAGTGTTTCATTAACACTAAACAATTTTTGATTTTATGTACGTTTTCATAAAACACAAAGCATTTTTCTCGCGCTTGCCCAGTCTGGCTTTTATTCGTAGCACGAAATCCTGCAATATCTTTTTTTTTCTGCTGAAAAGTTTTATCCGGAACTGTACCTCTGTTTCTACAAACTTTATTTAGTTCTTTTAATTACTGTATTCCGGTTTTTGATCTCAGGTTTTTTTACGATGCAGCAAGAACGAATTTTTAAAGCACAACCGCAAAGAATGTTAATTACCACAAGTTTGAATTTTTCTTTTAACTTGTAACAAACAGGAAGTCCAATTGGCGAAAATATCTTTTCAAATGAAAGAAGTAAATTCATGAAAGGTTTTCTGCAGGTAGCTTTTGGATGAATGCTCTGTAACTGTTTTAAATTTGTCATGCTTTTACACGTTCTTTAGGTAATGAAGAGGTGAAAGCAGCTGTTTTCGGACTTTTTTTTTTTTT